GCACACACACACACACACAGAGACAGCCTCTCGATATGCGTTTTTGCTGGCTGTAGCAGCGCTATAGCGCTGCACAGCAAAAACGCATAAAAACGCGACTTCTCACCGGCAGTTCGTGCGCTGGCCATTTTTTTAGTGTTTAAAACGAAGACAATACAATTTTTATCAGGTTAATACAGCAAAATAGTATTCGTCTACAAGTGCATAAGTGTGCTCGATTCAATTTTTGGTGATGCTTCTTCGTCGTTGGCTATATGATCACCTGCAACGCTCCCAGTACTGCTCATGATAGCCGGTTGTAGCGCGATTGTGGGGACAAATTTGCGCCGAAATGAGCCACGTATTCGTGTTTTGCTACGCCGCAAGGATCGGCGTGCGTGGATCGCATTCCGCATTATGATCGAGCGATTCGCATCCATTTTTGCTTCTTCGGCGCATTGTTCGAAAAATTCTAAATGGATATGTTGTTTGAAGCACTTTTCGAATTATTGTCTAAATCAATACTTACTTTTCCGGACCGTATGAAAACATAAGGAAAAGGCAAAAACCACCTCGCAGTTTATGCACGTCTGGCATGATATGTTCCTGCAGTTCACTCATCTGCGCTCCTGTGAGTTTCAGCGCTGTTTCCAGGTGCTCCAGTGCTTTTTCCGCTGCCTGCAGTTGTTTTTCCGCCCCAATACGAGCCATCACTTCATCCTTCAGCTCCGCTTCGGTCATATCGCGTTGCTCGCTGACTTCCTAAGTTTTTCTCAATGGAAATTCCTTTTTGAATATTATACAGGCTTTCTGATGTGTGGCCTGCGAGGGTGGGGAAAGAATGGACGATACCAGTCCATTTTCTGCACTAAATGTAGTAAAGATCACTTGGACAAGAAGGATTTATGCGAGAAAAGTTGGACGATGCAATAATGAGCTAGAAGGATACAAAAACTCATCAAAAGGGCACAAAATCAATCCAAAAGGAAATGAAATCGATTAGAAGTGTTAATTATGCGTTCCTGCATCTTATGTAAGTACATCCCAGGCCGTGACATACCGCACTTGCCGGTGCGATCATATGTTTTTGCACTAAACTTGCAACAGTCAGATCGTTTACAGCATGAATGGTCCCTGCGTTACGGCTTAACTCATGAGCTCATATTGCTTGTGTTCTGGTCTCTCTTTGCGTGTAAGGGGAAAAGGGCGTCGGCTAAGGTGGTAGTGTTGCACTGTGGGGAGCATGGACCTCCTCATGCAAGATTGTCAGTTTTGCATGATGAACCTAGGTTGGAACGCACCAGGCTCTCCGGTGCGATCATCGTTTTTGCACTAAACTCGCTGATCGCAATTAGCAGTAATGATCCCTACGCTGTAGCCTAACACTTGGGTCGTATTGACGTGCTTTGATCCTTTCCAGCATGCAAGAGGAAGGGCATCAGCTGGGATGAAGGTGGTGCATTATGGAGCAGCACGGACATCCAGGGGCACGATTACCGGTTTTTTGCACAAAGCGGTCGTTTTTATGCGTTTTTGCCTATATGCAAATTGCAAAAACGCATATTGGGACGACCCTG